GGTTTCAGTTTTGACTCTTCAGCTAATCAACATCATAATTTTGGGACTGATAACTTAGATTCTGGGCCTTATAAATTTGGCTATAAAAGTGCTCTATCAACAGCCCTAAAAATTAACCAAAAATATAAGAGCGCCAACAAAAACACGTTCCGCCAGCTCACCCTCTCTGTTATAAACTGTACTATCTCAACTCTGAGAAGTGAAATAAACAAAATCAAAATGCTCATCGACTGATTCCTCAGCACATGGTCTTCATTAAAATAAGAGTATACACTTCATCGCTGTGCACCTGGACTGTATTCCATTCTCCTAAAAAATGCATATAAGCGGTGTCTTGACTGGATTTTCTCTTCATGATATAGAAGCTGTTACATGTCCAGCCAATCACATGACTGCCCACTGCTGAAAAGCATGAACGTCAATGAACAGATTTTAAAATTCACTCGTGATCATTTACCGAGTGTGTAGTGTGTTGTGGGCAGACATACTGAGTCCGGGAGCATCAGAGGTGACTTGCTCTCTAAGGCAGCGGTGTCATATACAAACTGATCCAGGCAAAGAGATGATGGGGATGTCTTGCTAATCGTACAAATCAAGAGCCATGCCAGAAATCCAGGAGGAAGAACCCCTCTCCTGGGAGTCTCTGGGAGGGCTGCGGTGGAGGTGATGTTTGAGCTGAGTCTTGAAAGATGAGTGGAAATTTGCCAGGTGAAGGAGGGGAAGGGCATTTACAAGCTGAGGGACCAGGATGACTCATGAAAGCGCCTGGCGTTTTGGAGAAATAGTGCAAAGGGGTGCATAGCTGCAGCCCAGGTTTTGTGGGAGGGAAGGGAGCTGGGAGGACAGTTAGGCTGGGGGCTAGAACGGGGGGGGGGCCTCGTTATGCTCCACGCAGTGGCTAAGCACCCCTGCAGATGACAGCAGGGCACGGAGGCGGATTGCACGATGTGTTGTCTGTGCTGTGCTCTTAAGGTCATTGGAGGGCATATGGATGGAGTGTGCGCCTTGGCAGTAGAGTCAGGAGAAACAGGTTAGGGAGACCAAACAGGAGGTGGCAGTGGGAAGGGATGACTTTGAGAAGCATCTCTGAAAGAGAATAGACGATAGTTGGTAAACACTGGCTGCAGAGGCTGATGGAGAGGGAGACGCAGAGGATGACTTTGACACTGCTCAGCACATGGGAGACTGGGTGGCTGCCGGCACTGTTAACTACGGTATGAGAACACGGACCAGGACGGGTTCTCTACTCCAGTGTGCTCCCCACTGAAGAACGACCATGAACTTTGACACAGGTGGCCAGTGATCGAACAAGAAGACAGGATGACAGTGACTGAGAAGCCTGCCCCTGGAATGAGACCACTGATCTCTTAATTTCCATGCTTTGGGCTCATGGTATCATTTGGTTCAATACCATTTGAGAGATGTCATCTAGAATATATCTGATCTACTGCAAACCTCTTTTTTTCAGTTACACCATGCATCATTCCAGTTATAAGACAGTAAGAGTGGGAACTCTGGAGCCAGATCACCTGGGCAAGTGACCTCAGGCAAGCCAGTTAAGCCTTCCTGGGCCTCAGTTTTCTTATCTGAAAAATAAGCATAAAAATTCTTCATGAGGTTGTTGCAGGAATGAAATGAGTTAGTATATGTAAAAGTGTGCCTGGCACACAGTATAATTACCTTGTGAGTGTTTGCTATCATTAATAGTAAGTACCGAAAGTGATACAAATATTAGAGATTTATTATCATGGAACAAGATTGGAAGTGGGCAGTTTGAGGGTTGGTGCTGTTGCTTAAACAACTTATCAAGGACCAGACTCTTCCCATATCCCACTCTACCGTCTTCGGCTTGTCAGCGATTTCTCCCCTCATGGTGGCATAAAGGCTGCAGTAGCTCCAAGTATCAAGTCCTCACACGACCAGAATTCCAAGCAGAAGATAAGGGCTTTCTTTCTTGTGTAGCCCTCACTTTTCAAGGAGGAGAATCTTATCTAGAAGCCCCCAGTAGGTTTCCTTTCAGCAGAACTGGGTCACAGGGCCAACCCTACCTACAAGAGGGGCTGGGAAAGAATCTGGCACTTCCAACCTGTAACAAATGGGGCAACAGTGGAGCTGGGCTGGTGGATGTGTGGAGAATCCGCAGTGCACACCACAGTCTGGGAGCCAAAGAGTTTCAAGGATGACTTGCTCAGGCCTGGGGTAATTGAGAAACAAGAATGCAGTTTTCATCCAGAGTGAGCCGAAGACTTCGTCCTTCAGGGGTCATTAGCTTTAAGAGTAGCTTTCTAACCCAGGAGAGTAAACTTGTTGTTGAAAAAGGGAGAGAGAATATTTTCTAGCTGGGGGACCTTCCTTGTCTTCTCCCTTGTTCTAGGCTGTAACCTTTCCTCCCACAAACCAAAGGAGGGGGTTCATAATTCAGTTCACCTTGTCTAGAAGGTTGGCCAGGCCAGTCACTGGTAAAGGTATTTAAAAAGAAGCAGATGCAGTCTTCTTCCCCCTTTCGCTACCCCGGGCAGCATCTCATCCACCGGGATGGGGTCATAAGCAGAGAGCTGTTTCCCCTGGGATGGACATCTCAAATCAGAGCTTCCCCGACAATCCACACCCCCACAATCTACCTTCCCCTACAGCGGTTTTCTCTACATCCCCATGGGACAGAATTTGGGCCCATAGCATCTCTTGTCTGGGCTCCCAGTCAAGGTTCTCCATCACAGGAAAGACTGCAGGCGGCAAGGTGGACGGAGGAGGAGGTCTAGGAGAACGCCTTTATAAACATCCACAGAAAGCCTTATTTCCACTATCCAATTCCATTAACAAAGAGAGGAGAAATTTTAAAATTCCAAGGCACTTAGTTACTAATCTGATTCTGGCCTACATGTGGATATTCAATAAATACTTGTTAAATTAAATCGAGTCAAGGTTTTATTTATTCAACCTACTTAAAGCTTATGTAAACCCCTTGGAGATTTGTGTCAAGCTGTTAAGTTGGAAAATCTATGAAAAGTCGTATTTTCAATAGAGCAGCTTTCCTCTTAATGAGCTTTATGAGCTTAGTGTAAACCGGGGGAGGGGGGCTTTCAGGGGAGGGGACGGGAAGGAGGAGGGAAGGAGGAAAGAGGGAAAAGCCTGTTTCTGTCATTGTCCATGTTTGCCTTCCTTGCTCTACTTATTAACCAGATACTGCCCTCTAGCGCTCACTGTATGAATTCTTACCTGAATTCCATTTTTGTCTTTTAAAACCCTGATGACACCAGGAAGGGACCAAACCTCTTAATTTGCAAATAAGCAAACTGAAGTCCAGAGAGGTGAGGTGTCGAAGTGATCTAGGTGGCCCCCTGGATTCCTGGTTACCCCACTGTAACTTGTCTGGCAAACTCTCATTATTAAAAGCATTGGTCAGACATTGTAATAACTAATCCTACCTGTGGGATTAGTTAATAAATTACAGCATACTAATCATTTAATAATACAGGCTTATCTCGGAGTCACTGCAAGTTCGGTTACTGACCAACTGCAATAAAGTGAGTATTGCAGTGACGCACTTCACACGAAGTTTCTGGTTTCCCAGTGCCTATAAAAGTTATGTTTACACTAAACTATAGCCTTTTTTTTCTTTACTTCTTCTTTTCTTTTTTCGGTTAGGGGTAGGTAAATTAGGTTTACTTATTCATTTATTCTTAGTGGAAGTACTGGGGATTGAACCTAGGACCTCATACATGCTAAGTATGCACTCTACCACTCGAGCTACACCCTCCCACTATACTATAGTCTATTAAGTGTGCAACAGCATTATGTCTAAAAAAATGTATAGCTTAATTCGAAAATATTGCTAAAAAATGCTAACCATCATCCGAGCCTTCAGCAAATTGTCATAGTATCACCAAAGATCACTTACAACAGATTCCCCAGAACAAAAAC